TCTCTCTCTCTCTCTCTCTCTAAAAAAATATATTTATAATATATGTATATGTAATATATATATTTTGTTTGGATTAATAACTTGCCTTGTGATATAAATTCTAAGATTACTTTTATTTCTAGTGAGCAAAGTAGTACTTTTATATTGTAGCCTTCACATAAAATAAATTTGTTCATAAATACTTCACAATTTTTTAAATTTCTTTTTGAAATATGTTCATTTTTTTCTTCACATAATTATGTAGGATGATTTTGACTTTGAAACTAAAATGGAAGAGCAGAAAAAAAACTCTGGAGTTTCTGAAGTTGGAGGTAAGAAGTTAACAAAAATGTAGATTAACTATTAATTCAATTTTATACCACTTTAACATTTTTTTCCCTTACAGAACCAAATTTAGTTTGTGAGGAAGATGAAATTATGAGGTGTAAAGAAAGTCCAGATCTTTCAATTTCTCATTCTCAGGTATAAACTTTATTAAGTTCCATCTAACTTTTAACTTGTTTGTTTTTTAAAGATGGTTGCTTTTGGGGCTGGGGTTGTGGCTCAGCCATAGAACACTCACCTAGTACATGCAAGGCACTGGATTCAATTCTCAGCCCACATAAAAATAATAAATAAAGGTATTGTGTCCAGCTACAACTAAAAAATATATATATATATATAAAAGATATTGTTGTTTATAAGACTATTTGATTTTTCATTATTTCTCAGATATTCTATTTTCTGGGTCTTTTAGAAAATAAGTATTTAGAACTTGTTATTGTTAACAAAAACTGCCTGTTACATGTTGAAAATTTTTGAGTTTATTACATGGTTTTGTTTAAATAAACCTTAAACTATTCATAGAATTTCAGAGCTAGATAGAATCTTATGTAATTATTAATTCCACCCTCCTTTGTATTATATATGGACTGTAAAATACATTTTTTTGTTGCCTTGGAGCAGAACATGTTTAATTTTGTTTTCCATGTAAAATACAGTGAAATTCTGAAATAACAGATTTAGATCATATGAACTTGGAAATAATGGATTGATGATTAATTACCTACCTTCCTTTATCTAGCTCCTTTCTCAAATTGGAGTGAGCTAAAGTTCATATCTTCTGGAAGGGTAGTGCTTYGTGATCATTTGAGCGGTCTCAGTTCAGTACATTGTCAGTTATGCACAGTGTCAGCTTACTAACTTTACTTTGGTGCCATTTGTAACAGTATAAGCCAAGTCCAAATTATTGATTTTCATTAACTTAATATAATAAGCCCCTAAATTTTATGTGATTGAATTTTAGACTCCATTTTATTATGATATGAAAGTATTTTGTTATGTTATATAATTTTATGTAACTTATTTTCTAGGTTGAGCAGTTAGTTAGTAAAACATCTGAACTTGATGTGTCTGAAAGCAAAACAAGAAGTGGAAAAGTCTTTCAGAATAAAATGGTAAATGCCTTTTTAGGTTTTAGGTTTGTTTTCCATTCTAACCTTGTAATTTCCCCCCACATATGAGTTTATTTTACTATTTCATTTATTGGATTATTTTTAATATGTACCTATTATATGGCAGGTACTTTACTAGATGCAGAGGATATAACCTAGTTAACACATAGTTCCTAATTTTAGCTGAAAGTTTGGTAATTGGAAGCAAACAAGAAATGATATAGGACTATCATAGAAATCTTAATAGAATACATAGAAGCACAAAAGAAAGAATAGTTAATTTTACTGAACGTACATTAGAGAGGAGAATCCAAGAAAAACTTTGAGAGTGATACTCTTGTTCAGAATCTCCCAAGGGAATTTCGTAAACTATCACAACATTCCCATGTTCTGTCTTATAAATTGATTGTATTTTTAATGACATACAAATTAATATTTTACATACATAAAAGATTAACATATATATATATATATGTCTTGTACTAAATGAATGTCATGTTCTTAAGCAAAAACAAAATCAGTTTTAGTTTTGTGTATGAATTATACTAAATAGGAATTTACATTTGAACTRGGTACTGTGGTACATGTTTAAACCCTTTTACTCAGGAGGCTGAGGCAGTTGTGAGTTTGAGACCAGCCTAGGCAACTTAGTAAGACCCTCATCTTGAAATGCATATGTGAATGTATATACCTTTAAGTTACTCTCAAGGTTAAGGGTAAAGAAAAAGCATTTTGTAAAATATGAAATAATATATCCAAAGTTAGGGAACTCTATCAATGGTGTGCTAGAACATTTGTTCCCAACCCCTCATCTGGTAATATCATTTTGGTAGCTTGATATTGGACATGGACAGAGTATTGACTGATTAGAAATCAACAAATGCCTCAGGGTTTGTTTCTGGCACATAGTTGGTGGTTAAACCTTTACCAGAACACCACTTTTTTTTTTTTTTTTAAAGAGAGAGTGAGAGAGGGGAGAGAGAGAGAGAGAGAGAATTTTTAATATTTATTTTTTAGTTCTCGGCAGACACAACATCTTTGTTGGTATGTGGTGCTGAGGATCGAACCCGGGCCGCACGCATGCCAGGCAAGCCCGCTACCACTTGAGCCACATCCCCAGCCCCACCAGAACACCACTTATTATGGTGCCCTTTTTAGGAGTCTTTTTCTCCCCACGTTCTCAATAGGAAGTTAGAATTGCTGATGAAAACAAGAAATAAAGAAATGCCAAGAATTTCTACTTCCAGCAGCAAAATATTCTTCCTAGCCAGCTTCCATTTAGGATGAGTATCCTTTACTAGGATATAAGGAGCGAGGCAARCATTTTACAAAATTAGTAAGCAAGATTTCCTTGTAATATAACGTTAAGATACTTTAAGGATGGGGCAGGGGTTGTCGCTCAGTGGTAGAGCATTTGCCTAGCATGCATGAAGCACTGGGTTTGATCCCCGGCACCACAAAAAAATAAACAAATAGGGCTGGGGATGTGGCTCAGTGGTAGAGCGCAAGCCTAACATATGGAGGCCCTAGGTTCCATCCTCAGCACCACATAAAAATAAATGAATAAAGGTATTGTGTTCAACTTCAACTAAAAATTAAATATTAAAAATTAAATATTAAATATTAAAAATATAAATGAGTGAAATAAAAAACTAGCCTCTCTCATTTAAAAATAAAAATAAACAAAATAAATGTATTCTGTCCATCTATAACTAAAAAAATGTTAAAAAAATAGATACTTTAAGGACATAAATTCATTTCTTCAATTTCACATGTTTTGGAGATGAAGTCTTAGGATACTTATAATTTTGAGAACCATGGCTGAATTGGGGCTAGGAAATGTCAAGAAATTAAAATATGTGATAATAAATATATAAAGGAGGTTATCATTGGGAAGGATTATTCAAGCATGAGGAAAGAAATATGTTCTTTTAAAGAATAGTATTATGTCAGTTAATAATTTGCCATCTTCCAGTATTCATTTTAATAACTGTATTTACAGCATTATTCACAATAGCTGAAAGATAGGAAAAATCCAAGTGTCCAGTAGCAGATGAATGGATAAAATGAATTGTCTTAAAACCTACAAAGAAATATTCAGCCATAAAAAGGAATGGAATTAACCGTACAATGCAATAACTTGGATGAACCGTGAAAATATGATGTCAATTGAAAGAAGCCATTCACAAAAGTTCACATATCATCTGATTCCATTCATGTTAAAGTCACAATTAGGAAAGCTGTTGAGAAAGAAAAGCCTTAGGGCTGGTGGGAGGATAGARGAATAACAGTATTAACATCCTCTTTTGAGGATGATGAAAATATTCTAAAATTGTGATACGTTTGTACAACTCTGGATACACTTAAAATCATTTAGTTGTATCCTTTTAAATAGGTTAATTGTATAATATCTTAATTACTTCTGAATAAGGCTGTTTTTTTTTAAAAAAATGCATATAGTCATTCATTTAAAGAAAAATCAACTATTGGTTGCTCTTTGAGAAATAACCAATTAGTAATTACTCTATCTTTGTGGAGGCAAATGGAAATCCACCAGTAAAATCTTCTAAAGAAAATCGGAAGAGAAATCAACCTGAATCTGGGAAAACAGTAAGTCTTATGATAATGTTCATAMCTATTGTGAATAAAATTCAACCTATGTTAAAAAGCAAAGTATGAGAATATCACTACTATAGATTAACATAATAAATTTGATCATGGGGCTGGAGTTGTGGCTCAGTGGTAGAGCGTGCCTAGCATGTGCAAGGCCCTGGGTTCAATCYTCAGCACTACATAAAAATAAATAAATAAAGATATTGTGTCCAACTACAACTAAAAAATAAATATTTAAAAAATTTTGATCATATCCCTGAATAGACCTCAGAGCTCTGATATTCAAATCTTGTTCAAAAATATTTTGTTCTAAAAATGAGGTGATTTTAAAATAAGATACAAGCCAGTCATGGTGGCACACACCTRTAATCTCAGTGATTTGGAGGCAGAGGCAGGGGATCACAAGTTCAAAGCCARCCTTAGCAACTTAGTGAGGCCCCAAGTAAGGTAAAGAGACCTGTCTCAAAATTAAAAGGGTTGGGGATATAGCTCAGTGGTAAAGTGCATCTGGGTTTAAAAAAATGTATATATATATGTACATACACACACACACACACACACATACATATACATACATTACCCCCCACCCCCCACCCCACACATATAATCAAATAAGATGCAGTATTTCAGTGTATTAATATTTTACACATAAATAGCTATTGACTCATTCCATGAATGATTTAAAGTTATTAGAGAAATTTGTAAAATAAATAAAATTGGTGTCAGGAAAAAATTTGAATAGAATGAAAAAAATGACATAATATCCAAGTCATGTTGTTTATATGGAACTGAAATTGGATCACAAATTTGTCTGAGCTTTCTACAGATCAAAACTAAACTAGAAACTATAGAAAGTTACCAAAAAATATAGCATTTTCTAGTATCTCAGGAGAATGAAAACTTTTTTTGACCTAAATTTTATATAGTTGCTGCATAATCAGAACTTTATTATACCAAATCAGATAATGTATTTGTCTTTTTTGGGATACTTGCTCATATTTTTTCAACTAAAAATTTTCATACCATTAGTAGGTTAGAATTAGACAACTAAAAACTTAAAGATTATTTTTTAAAAATCAAATGTTAAAATTAGGGTAATATTAAAGGCTGGGTACAGTGGCACATGCCTGTAATCCCAGCAACTCAGGAGGCTGAGACAGGAAGATCACAAGTTAGAGACCAATCTTAGTAACCTAGTAACACCCTCAGCAACTTAGTGAAAACATATCTCAAAATAAAAAGTAGAGGGCTGGGGTTGTGGCTCTAGCATGTGTGAGGCACTGGGTTCGATTCTCAGCACCACATACAAATAATAAAGTAAAGGTCCATCAACAATTTAAAAAAATGTTTTAAAAAATAAAAAAATAGAAAGGACTGGGGATCTGACTCAGTTGTAAAAGCACCCCTGGKTTCAATCCTCAGTTCCACACATAAAAAAAGGTAATATCAAAATATACTTGMTTAATACTATTTTCAATTTACATAACTTAAGAATGAAATGGAATAACCTGACARTCAATACATTTGGTTCTTCAAGTTTTCCAAATGTATTAAGCCTCATTTTTTTGGCAAAATCATAATTAAATTTGTTATGCATAGTACAACTTTTCCCATCAAAATCAAACTTCAATAACTCAGGGGCTCCTATTAGTAATTTCCTAATTCATCTTTCCATTCACTTAAAAGGGTACACTAGGGCCAGGTATGTATGTAGCTCAATGGTAGAGTGTTTGCCTGGCATTCACAAGGTCCTGGGTTCAATTTTAAATACCACACGCACAAAATGTGTGTGTGTGTGTGTGTGTGTATATGTGTGTGTGTCTGTCTAATTTCTAGCAGGCACTACTAAGTACCAGAAGTACAAAATCAAGACATGATTTAAATCTTACAGAAGTACCAAGGTAGAAGGTTTTTGTATTTGTAATTAATTTTTCCTTCTCATCACCCCAAAATGTTTGACTGTTTTGAGGATACCATGTATATCTATCTTCTAACCTCTATGACAACCTTAATGAAGATCTTATCCTTTGAAGGTATTTACTTTTCAGCAGCCATCAGATATGTACTTATAAGCTGGGCACAGTGGCAATTGCCTGTAATCCCAGCAACTTGAGAGGCTAAGACAGTAGGATCCCAGATTTGAGGACAGCCTCATCAAGGCCCTAAGTAACTTAGTGAGACCTGGTCTTAAAAATTGAAAAAGGTCTGGAGATGTAGCTCAGTGGTAAAGCACTTCTGGGTTCAATCCCTATTGGCCACATACACCCCACAAAAAAAGATGTACATATGTCAGTAATAAATTTTACCTTACTTTTAAATAACCTATCCTTACCATAATTGAAAATAGTTATGGTTGATATGCTAGGTATTTTTTTTAAAGAAACCTTAGAGACATGACAAAAGATAAAGACATTTACACTGGAAAATATTCTAAGTAGTTTTCTTCTTTTGACAGGTTCTCCATCACTTTGATTCTTCTAGTCAAGAGTCAGTACCAAAAAGGAGGAAATTTAGTGAACCAAAGGAACATATGTAAAAATTACTTTTTCTACTACATATTTGCAAAGTTCTTCTCAACATTTAAATTAAAAAACACTATATTAGTATTTTAAGGTGTATTTTTCCTACCTCTGAACATTTATATGTAGTTTTAAGAAGTTCATTCACTAAAATGAAGTTTCTAGCTAACTATTGTATTGTTGTCTTTAATCTTAGTAAACCTGAGATAAATTCACAAAAGTACAAATACCATAATTATTCTGTTTATTATCAACATGATATTGATCTACCTTCCATTTTAGTGAACAAAAATATATATTAACTGTTAAGCCCTCTAAAGCCATTTKTGAAGCAAATAATGTTTATTTTCATATTAAAATTTTATAGGGATTCACTTTTTAGCTATGTTAAAACTACCATTTAACTGGATGTTTGTCATTGTGTTGTTATTTAAACAATGTTTTTCAATACTTTGAAATAGTGTATTAACATGGTAATATATAATGTACAATTAAAAATTCGGTACTTTACCTATTTTTTTTTTTACATTTTTTTACTATAGGACAAAAAAGATGACTGGTTTTTAAAGACTGATATTTTTACCAGCATAAATAAAATGTTGTGCAGTATGTAGGCTCTTTCTTGGCTCCAATTTTTATTTAATTAGAAAGTGTTTATGTATTAATTTTGAGATCATTTCGKTAGGTATTATTTTGCAACAGTTGAGCACACTTCATAGAACTTTTGAGTGGTAGTGTGAAAGACTGCTTTTAATAAGAAACCTGGGACCTAGTTCCAGTCTTGCGATTTCCTTTCCCTTAGAAAAAGAAGTTAAGTCTGTTAGCCTCTTGTAATTTCAGCGGCCATATTCCAAAAACATTCATTGGCTATGGGCTTGTCAGTAACAAGCGCTGAATAGGGAATTTTGGTATATAAGCCATGCTAGGAATGTGCCCAACCTGTTAAATGTAAACCAAATAAACCTCTACAAACCGATTCAGATCATTTTTTTTCCGCGAACAGTCAGGTTAGGGTTAAGCTATCAGAAAACAACCCAATTTTAAAATGTTTTACTCGGTCTTAGCTTTATTGCTTGGATACCAATGCTTTTCATCCAGTTGTCCCAGTATACGCTACTACTCTTAACACACCTGCTACATTGAAAATGCCCAACAGAAACCTTTTACAATTGGCAGCTCTTGTTAGCTCACTGRACGCTTTGATTGGCCACTTTAGTGGGTGTGGGGAGCGCAGCTCTCTTTCCTCTCTTCTACCAAGGTTCCTTCATTGGATTGACCAGCTGTCAGGTTGAACCCAAACCTGCCTCCTTTTGGTGATGTTTGTCTGGATCGCAACAATAGCCCGGGGAGAGCCTCCCCTCATAAGCTCCGATTGGCTGGAATCAACCTTGGGGGTTTCTGATTGGTCCAATGAAGAAACACCAAGGTAGGTTGCCTAGTGATCCTGAGGAAGCTGATGTGTTATTCCCTTTCTGCATCGAAGGATCAGGAAGTTTGTGCTCTCTGCGTGGCTGAGAAGTTTTTCACCTACTAGGACGGGGGTGGGGTGGGGAAAACAGGTGTCCTCCTGAAATAGAGCACAAGCTGCAGCCAGAGTCCAACTGTAACCCAGGGGTAACATCAGGTAAGCAACGGGAAAATTAAATTTCCTAACGTCAAAAWTTTTTTTTTAATTTTATGGGGACAGGGTGGTTTTAAATATTTATTCATTTATTTATTCTTGGCCATTTGTTTTTTCATGTAGGATTTTTAACTAGTAAATGTTCAAGGGAAATTGATTCCTCAAAGAAAATTCCCCTTTATTTTTCATCCCTGAAGGTTTAAAGTTTCTTGGATTGGGTTAGGAACTAATCCCAATTCAGTGCCAGAAAGAGTTAGTGCCCTAAAGCACTTATTTTATGGTTCTGTTCCTCCTTTATTCTTCTCATCTCCCATCAAAGATTATATTTGAAATATACTTTTGTACAAAGGATCTTTTGTAACTCACTTCATTTGTATTTCTATTTTAAATGTTCTCATGCATTTCTGAGTATTCGTTTTAATCAGTATATATTTATTGAGCAGTTACAACGTTAAAGACATTGTGCTAGTTGCTATGGAGAATATAAAAACCCAAGAAGACATTATTCCTGCCCTCAAGAAGTTTACAGTTGAGAGACAGCCATACCAAAAGAGAAACTATATTAAATACTTTAAAGGAAGTAAGTATAAATAAAGTTCTGTGAAAGTACAGCGGAGTGAACGAACAATTCTGGCCATGGGGCATATGGGTAATAGAGAGAGGTTCACTTAAGGCTTCCTGGTGGGGCAGTAGGTCATTGAAGAATGGGTAAATATAGAGAGARGGGGAAAAGGGTTAGAATCCCAGCAAGACAAAGGAGCAGAGGCAGAAAAAAAGCATGAGACATATTTGAGAAAAGATTTGACAGCAGTACATGTTAAGAGTATTGGGAAATATTGCTAGAAGGTAGAACCAGATCTAATCATTAACAATTCTTAAATACTATTTTTTCTTTTGATCTGAAAGATACCTTAATATAATGCCTGATTTTAAATATTTATTGTATATCATCTTCAAAACTAACACCTAGATTGTATAAAGTAAAATAGGCTAACTTGTAAACTTTACCACAGATGATTTAAAATTTTTAAACAATTGTAGTCATGGTATTAAAAAAAAGATATGTGCTTTGATTTTTTTTTCCCCAATGCTGGGGATTGAGTCTAGAGCCTTGAACTCACTAACTTAGTACATTCTCTAACACTGAGCTATATCCCAACACCCCTTTTTTTGTAAATGAGAAAGAGTTCTCTAATGTTTTAAACATTTTTGYTAGTGTTTTTTGGTAGCAGCTATTTGTGTACTCCCAAGATGGCTAACTAGGGCCATGTGAAATTATTGCACATGATTTTCTGAATGTTATTCTCTAGCCTAGTGGTCTCCAAAGTAAGTGCATGAAATAAGTCATTAGGGTATAGGAAGAAAATATTAAAACACATATTTCTATTTATTTTTTTCTCATTTTTTATTTTTGGTTTATTTGCGTTTTATGATATAGTACCATTGAATGTTTTCAGAAATTAGATAAATTATTGTGTTCGTTTAGATGCTGAATGCTCATCTTTTTTTGCTATTTTGTCTTATTTAACATGGGGATCCATCTTGTGGAAGAAGAGTATCACTGGACATTTCCTCCTGAGTTATAGTTTTATGCATAAAAAATAACCACATTTAAACGGTGATCATTTCTATAGGACTTTAGAATTATTGATTTGATTTCTTGTCATTGCCCTCTGGTGAAACAGTTGGAAAAGATATTGTGTCTCACACCCAGTTTTTCTAGTCATTACTTTCTTCTATAAGTTTATAAATATTTTCTATTCATATACATTTTTAGTATGTATGTATGAATATCTGTATTTATTTGCATAAGCACATATATGGATTTTTTCATTATTCCCTCCAGAAACAAGTGAGAATGACCACATTAACTCACCGAACCCGTCGCACTGAAATAAGCAAGAACTTTGAAAAGAAGGTAGAAAGTGAGGAAGATACTAATCAAGAGAGGAGTCCAGAAAATGAAGATTCTGGAGACTCTAAGGATATTCGCCTCACCCTTATGGAAGAAGTATTGCTCCTGGGACTAAAAGATAAAGAGG